AAAAAAAAAAAAAAAAAAACTGTAACATGAGGCCAGGAGTGATGGCTCATACCTATAATTCCAGCACTCTGGGAGGCCGAGGCAGGTAGATCACTTGAGCTCAGGAGTTCAAGACCAGCTTGAGCAAGAGTGAGACCCTGTCTCTAAAAAATAGTAGGGCATTGTGGCAGGCACCTATAGTCCCAGCTACGGGAGAAGGTGAGGCAAAAGGATCTCTTGAGCCCAAGAGTTTTAGGTTGCTGTGAGCTATGATGTCACAGCACTGTAGAGCACTCACTACAGCAACTGAGTGAGACTCTGTCTCAAAGTAGACAGATACATAGATAGACATTGTAACCTGCCCCCCAACAATCTGTATACCCCTTTCTTATTTTTCTCCTTAGCATTTATCAACATCTATGTGCTACCTATTTAAATTGTTTATTGTCCTATCTCCCTCACTGGAATATAAGCTCACTCCATGAAGGCAGAGAAGCTTGTCTGATGCATCCCTAGGACCTAGAATACTATCTAGCACATAGGTGCTCAGGAAATATTTGGTTAATGGTTGAATCAAAATCTCCAGCATTCTTGCTGGATTGTTGCTGCAGTGAACTAGTTTCTCTGATTTAATTCTTCTCAAAGCTTCTATTATCCTGGCCCCAGTCATCTTCTGAAAATACAGTCTCATCTTGTCACGCCCTAGTAACAACTTCTTTGATGGCTTATCCTTAACAGAGCACAGGCTGCCTTGGCACCCATGATCAAGACTAATCTACTTTTCCAGTCTAATTTCCTCCTGTCTTCTATCTGTCCCTTCCATACATACTCTATTCAGGAGGTGCCACACTTCGCTCCTGCTGCTCAGACTGGAATGTCTTTCTGCTGGTTTTTATAGGGTTTCTCTTTGTTACTTCTGTTCTTGACATCTAGCTGCCTTGGCCCCTGTTAGTGGATTCTACATTTTTTTTTTTTTTTTTGAGACAGAGTCTCAAGCTGTCGCCCTGGGTGGAGTGCCATGGCATCACAGTTCACTGCGATCTCAAACTCTTGGGCTTAAGCGATTCTCTTGCCTCAGCCTCCCAAGTAGCTGGGACTACAGGCGCTCACCACAACACCCAGCTATTTTTTGGTTGTAGTTGTCTTTGTTGTTTGGCAGGCCTGGGCTGCATTCGAACCCGCCAGGTCCAGTGTATGTGGCTGGCTCCCACTGTTTGAGCTGCAAGCAATAAGCTGGATTCTACATCTTGTTCCAAATGGCTCTGGCACCGGCTTTGACCTGAGGTCATGTTCCTTCTATCACGGAGCCAAGTCACCAGTCATCTTTGCCTTGCAATCAGTTGGAAAGTGAATGTCTTTAATTCAGAAATTGAAAGCGAGGGGGAAAACCCTGGTGGGCCTAGGAAAGAGCTGACACACATACTTGACATCCTGTCTCTAAAAAAATTTATTTTAAATAAAACTTAAAAAGTAGTCACCTGTGGAGAAGGTGATCTGGGGCTTAGTACATCTCCTTGTGCTGAGATTCTGAAAATACCTGGAAACATTTTTTACCCTTTGGATTTTCTGTAATTAAATATTTCCATCTTACTTGCTCACCTGCTCACCATTCCCTTTTGAAAATGGCTTCTTTTCAGGGTGGTGCCTGTGGCTCAGTGAGTAGGGCACTGGCCCCATATACTGAGGGTGGTGGGTTTGAACCCGGCCCCGGCCAAACTCCAACAAAAAATAGGCAGGTGCCTATGGTCCCAGTTACTCAGGAGGCTAAGGCAAGAGAATTGCTTAAGCCCAGGAGTTGGAGATCGCTGTGAGCTGTGATGCCACAGCACTCTACCGAGGGTGATAAAGTGAGACTCTGATTCAAAAAGAAAAAGAAAATAGCTTCTTCTCTCAGGGCTTCAAAATGAGAAAATTTCAAAAGGGATCCAAACAATTCCTTTGACCCAACAATTCTGCTAAGACTTTAACCAACAAAAATATTCATACATATGGCTGGGCACAGTGGCTCACGCCTGTGAATCCTAGCACTCTTGGGAGGCCAAAATGGAAGGAATGCTCGCGCTCCAGAGTTTGAGACCACCCCGAGCAATAGTGACACCCCAGTCTCTACTAAAAATAGAAAAAGTTATTCAGGTGTTGTGGTGGGCACCTGTATTTCCAGACACTTGGGAGGCTGAGGCAGGAAGAATGCTTAAGCCTAAGAGTTTGAGGTTGCTGTGAGGTAGACTAACACCACAGCACTCAGCCTGGAGCAACAGCATGAAACTCTGCCTCCAAAACAAAAATTAATTAATTAATTAAATATATTCACCACTTGTAATCCTAGTACTGTGGGAGGCTGAGGCAGGTGGATTGCTTTGAACTCAGGAGTTCAAGACCAGACTGCACAGGAGTGAGACCCCCATCGCTAAAAGTAGCTGGATGTTGTACTGGGCGCCTCTAGTCCCAGCTACTCTCTCTCTCTTTTTTTTTGTAGAGACAGAGTCTCACTTTATCACCCTTGGTAGAGTGTATCACATAGCTCATAGCAACCTCCAGCTTCTGGCGTTAGGCAATTCTCTTGCCTCAGCCTCCCAAATAGCTGGGACTACTGACACCTGCCACAATGCCTGGCTATTTTTTTGCTGCAGTTCGGCCGAGGCCGGGTTTGAACTCACCACCCTCAGCACCCTACCCACTGAGCCACAGGCGCCAACCCCCCCACCCCCCACACTTGAAAAGGATCTCTTGAGCCCAAGAATTTGAGGCTGCCGTGAGCTATGATAGTACAGCCCTCCGTTGAGGGCAACAAAGTAAGAATCTGTCTTAATGACTAGTTAGGGCACTGGCCACATACACTGCAGCTGGCGGGCCAGCCTAGGCCTGCTAATGATAACTACAACAAAAAAATAGCTGGGCAAAGTGGTGCCTGTGTCTCAAAGGAGTAGGGTGCTGGCCCCATATACCGGAGGTGGTGGGTTCAAGCCCGGCTCCAGCCAAAAACTGCAAAAAAAAAAAAAAAAAAAAAAAACCCAAAACAGAAAAATAGCCAGGCATTGTGGCGGGCGCCTGTAGTCTCAGCTACTTGGGAGACTGAGGCAAGAGAATCGCGTAAACCCAAGAGTTGGAGGTTGCTGTGAGCTGTGACACCATAGCACTCTACCAAGGGCAACATAGTATGACTCTGTCTCAAAAGAAAAAACAATCTGTCTCAAAAAAAAAAAAAACATTCACACATATGTACACAATGTTCCTGCACACTGGCTTTTTCACTGTTCCTGAAACATACCAGACACACTCCCATCTAGGGCTTTTCAGACCCTACTCTTATCTTCTAACCTACTTCTTCTACTACATAATTGACTCATTCAGTGTATTGTCCACCTCCTCACTTAGAATGTAAGTAAGCCCTATGAGAGCAGAGACTTATTTTGTTCAGTGATGTATCCCAAACACACTGAACAGAATTTGATACATAGAAGTGCTTTTTTTTTTTTTTGAGATAGTATCACTTTGTCACCCTTGGTAGAGTGTCATGGCATCATAGCTCACAGCAACCTCAAACTCCTGGGCTTAAGCAATTCTCTTGCCTCAGCCTCCCTAGCAGCTGGGACTACAGGCACCTATCGCAATGCCTGGCTACGAGATGGGGTCTCGCTCTGGCTCAGACTGGTCTGAAACCTGTGAACTCAGGCAATCCACCTGCCTGGGCATTCTAAGAGCTGGGATTACAGGTGTGAGCCACCTCGCTGGGCCCCACATAGAGGTGTTTAATAATTATTTGTTAGGGTGTAGCCCATACTTAGCTCAGTGGGTAGGGTGCCGTCTACATACACGCAGGCTGGCAGGTTCGAAACTAGCCTGGGCCAGCTAAACAACAATGACGACTGCAACAAAAAACAAACAAAAAATAGATGGGCATTGTGGCATGCGGCTGTAGTCCCAGCTACTTGTGAGGCTGAGGCAAGAGAATCACTTAAGCCTAAGAGTTTGAGGTTGCTGTGAGCTGTGATACCACAGCACTCTACCGAGGGCAACATAATGAGACTCTGTCTCAAATAAATAAATAAATAAATACTTGAAAATGAACAAAGTATTTGTTGCAGCATTACTGAAAAGATCAGGTTAAAAATAACTGTCTGACAATAACAGACTAAGTAAATTATAGCGCTAGTATCCAAGTGTGAAAAAGCCTGAGGTAGATGTGTATGTAATGACCTCCAAGATACAGTGCAGAAGTGTGTTTAGGAGGCTACCACCCATATATAAAAAGAGGGGTATAGAGTCACATAAACAGTATCTTTCTGGAAGGATGAACACCAGGGATGTGAGAAAAGCTTATTTATATTACATATGCACCGTATAGTATTATTATTATTTTTTTTTTGGTAGAGACATAGTCTCACTTTATCACCCTCGGTAGAGTGCCATGGCGTCACACAACTCACAGTAACCTCCAACTCCTGGGCTTAGGCAATTCTCTTGCCTCAGCCTCCCAAGTAGCTGGGACTACAGGCACCTGCCACAACACCCGGCTATTTTTTTGTTGCAGTTTGGCCGGGGCTGGGTTTGAACCCTCCACCCTCGGTATATGGGGCCGGCGCCCTACCCACTGAGCCACAGGCACCGCCCCACTGTATATTATTATTACTTTTCTTCCATGGTATATTATTATTATTATTGAGACAGAGACTCACTTTGTGACCCTGTGTAGTACCATGGTGTCACAGCTCACAGGAGCCTCAATCAAGAGATCCTCTTGCCTCAATCTCCTGAGTAGCTGGGACTACAGGTGTCCACCACAGCATCCAGCTATTTTTAGAGACAGGGATCTCACTCCTGCTCAGGCAGGACTGGAACTCCTGACCTCAAGCAATCCACCCACCTGGGCCTCTCAGGGTGCAAGATTACAAACTTAAGCCACTGTCCCCCACCCACCTACTTTTTTTTTTCTGACAGGGTCTTGGCGCTGTTGCAGAATCCAGACTGCAGGGGTATGATCATAGCTCACTGCAAAATCAAACTCCAGGTTCAAGCCATCCTCCCGCCTCAGCCTCCATGATTATAGACAACCACCATGTCTGGTGGCCACGGTATATACCCATTACATACACGTGTGCCTGTGTTGTTGTTCAGTGGCAAGAAATCATTTGAAAACATAAAAAAAGAAAAAGCGGAAGGGAGTGAGGAAGAAAGAAAAAGAATAAAGCAAGAGAAAAGCCAGGGATCATCTGGACAGCCTACAATCTTACAAGAGGGAGGGGATCCAAACACCACCGGTGTGTATTTAATGTTAATAAGAGCTTAGGGGCGGCGCCTGTGGCTCAAAGGAGTAGGGCGCCGGCCCCATATACCCGAGGTGGCGGGTTCAAACCCAGCCCCGGCCAGAAAAAGAGTTTAATACCGGGAAGGCAACAGCAAACAGCTCAGACTGTGGGAAACACAGGACATCACCATGACCACAGTCGAGCAAAAATCTGTACCCTCGTATTAATTTGAAATTAAAAAAAATAATGCCCTGGGTCTTAGGAACGATGTGGCGAGTCATCCCAGGAAGCACACGAGGGTGCGCAAAACAGCAGAGGGCAGCAGAGGACTGACCCACTGGGCTGAGGCACCCGGCTGCGACGGAACAGAGACCTGAGCGGGGCCATCAACCAGTCCTACGCACGAGGCCCCGCGCCCCCAGTGTCAGAAGCACCCAGGGTTCCTCCCGCGTCTGAAGGTCGCCGCGCGGTCCACGCCAGGACGCTGCGGCCTCCGAGGGCACACACTCACCCCTTGCCGCTGCCGGGAATTCTCGTAACTCCCTCCGCACGGCGTCCAAAGCAGCCTCCGCCATGACGCGGCCCCGCCCGGCCCGGGACCCCGCCCCCACGGCCCGCCCGGCCCCGCCCCTAGCGCGATCGCGGTTTGCCGTCTCGGCAGTCTTTAACTTCATCCCAGAGTTAACAAATGATTGTATTTATTGACAAGTTCATATACATCAGTACAAACGGACGTTAAAAACTGCTCCCGCCCCGTGCAGCCGGGGAAGAGGGAAGCGCCACGGCCTGGACAAAGTATAAAAGTTATAAATAAGGGGTTTTCAAAACGGGCTGGTGGGGCAAATCGGGACGGGGGCGGCGGTGGCCTCAGACATGCAGAAAGGGACGGACGGGGGTCGGGTGGGGTGGGACGCTGCCGAGGGAAAATGAGACACCGAGCAGAGAAGGGGCGGCCATCTTCTCACGGACCTTAGCCAGAGGGTAGGTCGTTCCCACGTGGTGAAGGACCTAGCCTAGAGCGACCAGCTGAGCTCTACCAGCGGCAGGGTGTGGCTAGTGTGCGGAGTTGGAGGCGAAAGGCAAACAGATTCACCCCACAGGAAGTGGCAGGCCCGCTAGCGGTCCACCTCCAATTGCCCAGGTTCTTTGGGCCATGCAGGTGGTAAAAGCAGAGTAGGTAAGCCAGGTTCTGAGCTGCTCAAGTGCACTCAGGCTAAAGCAACGGAGCTGGGCATCCTTAAGAAGCCATTTCTTAGGAACCTCCGCCTACAAAGCCAGGAGCATGGGTGACGGGGCTTTTGTGGCCTGAAGCTGTGTTGTCAAGCTACCCTGACTTACCTGGTACAGAGCAGTGCAGCAGGGCCCAGAGACACATTCACCCCAAACCTTCAACTTCCCTGCTACTTGGTACTATCCTACCTGCCTACTGTGTCCTATCTCCTTCCCTTACCCCTAACAACCACCCCTTCTGATTCTAACCCCTTACCTTTGCCACTTACCTGTCCCACCTACCACTATTCCAGTGTCTCTCTTGGACCCTGTACCTCTTCCCCTTAACCTCCAGTATCCAGCACAACTTTGGCTGCCCAGCACTGCCTCTGAGGCAGCTCCTTCTATCCAAACCAGGTGTCCTATGGACCATCTCATTATCACTAGGCTGTGGACACCAAGAATCCAGAATTTGGATTTGGTGCTCCATATAAGCAAGGATGAAGCTGGGGCAGGACCTGAGAGGAAACCAGGCACATATCAGGGAGCCAAGTACTCTAGCAATGAACAGTCAAGTGTGTGTGTGTGCTGTATGAGTTCCTCTGTGGCCAGTGTCCTCAGAATGTGGGCTGCTGCCCTGTAAACCATGAGGGAAATTCCAACAGAGACTGCGCCTCACTCAGGATTCAGGGAGGTGGCCTCTGCACTCTAGCAGCCTGCTGAGGTCCAGGGTTGGAGGACATGGGATGGTAAGGGACTGAGGAAAGGAGGCCAGAGCTTCATGTCTGCCCAGCAGAGGGCTTTACTGTCCCGCAGCAATGTCCCATGGCTGGCTCCACAAGTTCTAGACAGAAGAGAAAGGGGAGGCACAGGAATAGAGAAAATGCTAGGGCCCTCTTGGAGGGAGAATGGGAGTGGAATGTGGGGGCTCAGGTCCTAAAGTCAACTCAAGTCTCTCAATGGCTGGGGGTCCTCTGGAGGACCAGACAACTCTACCTTTCTGACCTGTCAGGAATTAGTGAAAACAATCCCTGCTCTGGCAGCCAGAGGAGTGCAGCTGGTGTGGGAGGGAAGTGGAGACAGAGGTGAAGGCTATAGTTCGCTGAAGGGCACTAAATACCACATCACCTCTCACCTCTACCCCATAGAGTACCCTGTGTAAGCTCCACCCCAGGGAGCTGATCCCTGCAGTAATTTCAAATGGCTTCTAAGAAGAGAGGGCCAGCCCTTCCCAGTTCCCCGCAGATGGGGCAGGCTGCCCTCCTACCCCTCACAGCACCAAGATGATGAAGACCCAAGACCTGTCCCTGCCACTGGAGGGGCTGTGGAGGCAGGAGTTCCAAGGAAGTGAGGCAACAGTCAGGGAAATAAATTAATAAATACAGGAGCCCCATGAGGAGCAGCTGGGAAACGGCTTCTCCTCTGAGCACTGATCCCTGCTTTCCACTCCAAGTGTCCTCGAGGTTTTGGTGAGTGGAGGAGGGACTACAGTTTGGAATGCGGGGAACATTCACTTGGGATAGGCTTCTGGAATTCAGAGTCTGCGTTCCATGCGCCGCTCCACGGCTTGAAGCAACAGCTCTGAGTATTGCTCTAGCAGGGCCTGTGTTTGCTCAGCTCCCACAGACCCAGGGCTCCCGCCTGGGCTGGATAGCACTGCACCAGCCAGGGCCTCTAGCTCTTGCTTTACTGAAGAGAAGGTGTCTCTGAGGAGCTGAGTGATCCGACTTTGTTCCACTGAAGGTGTCTTGTAGCTGGCCACCTGCAACAGGACCCCAGGAAGTGAGTTGGAGGTATAGTAGAGGGGCCCCACCTGGATCTAGCCTGCTGCAGAAGGGACTGGCTAGGAGATCCTCACTCTAAGATCAGGAAGTATGACCAGGGGGTATGGGAGGTAGGCAGACTCTGGGAGTGACCTCAAAGGAGGATCCCATCAGATTATGGACCGTATCCAACCTTTTTTTCTTTTTTTTTTTTTTCTTGAGACAGAGTCTCACTATGTCACCCTTAGTAGAGTGCCATGATGTCACAGTTCACAGCAACCTCAAACTCTTAGGCTTAAGCGATCCTCTTGCCTCAGCCTCCCAAGTAGCTGGGACTATAGGCACCTGCCACAATGCCCGGCTACTTTTTGGTTGCAGTTGTCATTGTTGTTTAGCAGGCCGGGCAGGCTCAAACCTGCTAACCTCAGTGAATGTGGCCAGTGCACTACTCACTGAGCTATGGGCACTGAGCCCCAACCTTTTTTACTTTTCTGCCATTCCCTTGGGCCACATATTAAATACACAAGCACTAACAAAAAGCTTATGAGCAAAAGAAAAGGTCCATGCATAATTTTTGTGATATCTAATGCTCAGCTAAGTAAAAAAGTCCTCAAATAATCTGCATATGGCCCACGGGCCACAGGTTGGACACCCTTGATAGCAACTCCTTATTGCTCATGCACACTCTTTTTTTTTTTTTGACACAGTCTCATTTTGTTGCCCTCGGTAGAGTGCCATGGCGTCACAGCTCAAAGCAACTTCCAGCTCTTGGGCTTAGGAGATTCTCTTGCCTCAGACTCCCAAGTAGCTGGGACTAACAGGTGCCTGCCACAACGCCCAGCTATTTTTTTGTTGCAGTCTTGCCAGGGCTGGGTTCAAACCCGCCACCCTCAGTATATGGGGCCAGCGCCCTACTCACTGAGCCACAGGTGCCACCCAACACTCTACTTTTTTTCAAAGCTTAGGCCCTACTGGACCGTCCCTAGGTCTAACCTAAGATGGCCAAATGATTTTTGGATATGAAAAAGGATACAATTAACAATTAGGTTGGGACAACAGGCACCAACTGGGATTGTCCTGAGCAAACTAGGACATATAGCCTATCTATACCCCATCTTCCTGAGGGAAGTCTCCAGCTCTTAACCAGAAATGACCAAAAGTGCCTGGTTCAAGAGGCTGGCCTGGCCTCACCTGCTCCCTCAAATACTATGCCCAGGATTTCACCCTGTCAATGGAAGAGCCTTGATCATTAGTGCTCTGCAACTCAGCTATATGAAGCCCCTAGCACTACTGACATATTCCATCTTCTGGTCAGTAGCTGCCCAACACTCACCAAGTGGTAGAGCCTTACAGCCTGGCGCACACTGCTGCGGAGCTCTGCCACAAGTTGTTCACACTGCTCCAGGTTCACTGCCAGTTCTGAAAGGGATAGATATGGCTCAGTGTGACTCAACCAGCTGGACTTTCAGGTCTTCCCACCCATGAGCACTCAGAGCAGGAAAAGCCTAGCCCTCAGCAACTGGACTCCTGACTTACCCCTCATCCCTTCCTCTTGCCTCCTTCCCTTCCAACACCCTCCCTAACACCACACAGACAGGTCCAAAGGAGAGGGCCAGTCCCAGGGTCCAGAAGGCACTTAATGGGTAAGCGGGTCATAAGGAAATCATGAAGGTTGGCAGGAGTGTCTCACCATCAGGGGTGTGACTTATGGACCCAGACAGGAGCAGACAGGACGAAAAACGCCAGAGGCCGGACACATAGAAATGGGATGGAGCCAGAGAGTGGCCAACAGAGACAAGAGAGAAAAGATGGGGCAGGAAGTGAAAGCTAGGAAGCTGTGCACACCTGAGTTCTGGCTCAGGACTGCCCCTGGAGTGGTGCATTCCATGGGGTTGGGAGTCTTCTCAGGGGGTGGGGGCTGCAAGTTCTCAGGGCCTCGGAGGAGGCTGCTGATTGGCAGGTGCTGGGCACAGGGGCTGTTGGGCCCAGGAAGAGCCTGGCACTCTGACCTAGGCCTGGAAGTGGTACCCTCGCCCAAATATAGCTGTCTCTCAGATGTACTGTGGGTCTTTCTTAGGCCTACTGGGAAGCCAGGCTGCTCTGCCTCACCAAGGGGCCGGCCCTTTGTTACAGGTGAGAATGTAGCCAGGGTAGGACGGTCAGGCAATGGTTTGGGGATGTCCAGAATCAGGTGAGCCCGGCTGGGCAGGGCCAGCTTGCCAAGTGGTGAGACTCGGATGGGGGCAGGAGGTTGAGGTTCAGCAACCAGGCCTAGGTTCTCTCCAATGGAAATACTGCGGGATATCTTGGCCATGGAACTGGTAGTGGGGTTCTGGTAGGAGTGGGGCTGAGATGAACGGCCATCAGCCTGGGGCAGGGTGCCCAGACCATCCTGAGCCTCCATCTCCTGTGAGAGCAATGGACCTGGTAAAGGGGCCACATCTGCATAAGAGACAAGATACATTTGCAGGTCACATGGTGAGGAAGGCATCCCAGGTACTAAAACCCAATCCCTAGGAGTTGCTATTCCCTCCCTCCAACATGCCCACTAAGGGACACCTAGTAGCAAGCATAGTGACATATCAAGGCTGCATCAGGCCCTCCTTTCTCCAGCATGCACACATGTTCCATACCCTCACACCCAGGAACTCAACCCACCAGGCTTCTCACCCTGTGGCTCCAGACTGTGCACAGACTGAGCTTTCTGGAGTCCAGCTAAGGGGCTGGCTGTGGCCACTTTCTTGGGAGCACAGCTTCTGTCAGGGTTTAGACGGCGTCGAGGCAATAGCACAGGGGCTGCCTTCTGAGGGCTGGAGCTGCCAGAGGAGGGTTCTGCCTCTGGGGGTGCTCCTGGGGGACTGGCACCATTGCCTCTCAGTTGCTCACCACATGCCTGTGGCACCTGGACTGGTCTTGACATCAATGCTAGGCTTGAAGAGGATGGGGATGGTTCCCTACAGGGAAGAAATGTGGAAGAAGGCCCAGAGAAGGCTCAATCAGCCCTCCTGCCTAAATGGTAAAAAGCTCCACCAGAGAAGAATTACGAGAGAACAGGCACAAAGCCAGACAACTGGGGCAAAGCCAGTTGTCCCCAAACCAGGAGTGCAAAATATCCTTGGGTAAGAAAAGATAGAACTTCAGGGGGGGAGGGCTGTGTGCTGCCCCAGGTAGGAGCACTGGGAGGTCAGGAGAGCCAGAGCTGCTCTGGGGAGAGGTCTCTGTACCTGAGTGGGGGAGTCTGTACTTGCAACAGGAATCGTGCAGAAATACTCTGAGATTCTGTCCTCTCTGGTACCCGGACTGGGCCCCCTGCCAAGGTCAGAAGTTATGAATTGAGGTAGATATCAAGCCCTTGCCACAGATTCTGACTCCCTAAGAAGGAAACCCCCAGGCATTTCCTGCCCTTGGATCATTCCTCTCAGGTAGACAAAGAGGCAAACAGGGAAGGTTGCATTGACCAAATGCTGGCCCTCTGACCACACCTGGAGCAGCTCCATTGGCCAGAGTCTCAAAGTGCTGTTTTAGAAACTGCTCCTGATCCGGAGTATGGGGGCTGCCTTCCTGAAGCCCATAGGGGCCAGTGCCTCCCTCCTCTTCTTCTTCCTCTTCTTCATCACCCTCAGCCGGCTCTTCGAGGTCTGAGGAGATGCCATCCACACTCAAGGGCTCTGTGCTCTCAGAGTCTGGATGTGAGGGCAGGGAAAGAGGCATCATGCTGCACTCATCTGTCCCCTGAGTCTCCACCCCCACCTCAGTGTACTGACCCCTCTCTTGGGTCTATAGCCTCACCTTCATTGGGGTGCTCAGGACTGGAAAGACAGCTGCTGCTGTAATCCACAGAGCAGGCACTGTCAGGGCTGTGCTTTTCGGAGGCCCTGCTGCTGGCTGAGTACGCTCTTCCCAGGGTTCCTCGGGCTGGAGCCTGTACCTGGAACTCACTGCCAAGAAGGCCAGCAGAGGAAAGACAGGCAGTGAGCAGAGAGGTGAGCAGCAACCCCACTGGACTCCTGCCTATGAGCTGGACTCAGGATGAGGCAGCAGTGAGGTGTCAGGTGAGCCCTGAGTAGCCTAGTAACCAATCCTCCCAACTACAACACAGAGGGAAGGGAAAACTGGGGGCTGCCTAGCCCCATGAGTCTGGCTAGGGCAGGACCCTTGCCTGGTATCCATGGTGGGGCTGTCATTTGGCTCTGGGTAGACAATACCATCTTCAATGGGTGCAGGTTCCAGATCTTGGGCAAAGATCCCTTCCTCTTGTGACAACAACTGGATAATGTGGGGGCAGGAACAGGGTTGGGAAGTTTGAGGCCGAGGGGGCATTCCATCCTGGGAATACACAAACGAGTATTACTAGGGCTACTGATATGAGAAGTAGGCCTTGGAGAAGAGGTGGAGGTAGGCAAGGATTTAGTGTGCACCAATTCTGGGGAAAGCTGAAGAAGCCAGCTCAGAGGCCAGATACCAAGAAGCCAGGCTGGATCCAACTGATGACGTAAGCTTCTAGAAGAACTACGTAAGTATTCTTGGCTGCCAACCTCCAGCTAACCTTAATACCAAGAATCCTCCAAGAAACCCAGCCTAGGGCAAAGGCTACCCAACTCACTTCTACCCCTTAACACCATAGCACGCAGCTTAGCACATCCTAACCTTATAGTTCAGGTTATCCACATGCTACAGGGGCAGAGCAAGCATAGCTGGATCAGTATTCAAGCCTCAAATGTTGGCACAAGGCAGGCTAAAGCTCCTTGGAGCTCTCTAGAGAGCTGGGAGAAAGCTGGCTCACCTGGCTAGCATGTGAAGTCTCAGGGGCCTGGTGACCATGTTTCCTAGCACCAGATGGGGTCATGGTCAATGAGTCCTGGCTGGTCCCCCGTGGGCTTGGAGCCAGAGTCTCCAGCTGCCGCAGATCCAGCATGGAACGAACACTTAGCTCCACGCCTGGCTGAACCCAGCGCCCCCTTCTTCTGGGTCCTGGGTTGGCAGCAGGAGCTTGGTCCAGGAACTCCATTGTCTCCTGTGCCTGGTAAAGCGGGGAAGGGAGAAGGTAACAATAACAATCATGTAATATTATCACCAAACACTCATATATCCCTTACTGTGTGCCAAGTACTTTACATGTATTCATTTCATCCCCACAACAACATTTTGAAGTAGATACTACTTTTATCCCTATTTTTATAGATGAAGAAATTGAAGCACATAGAGCTTGAGTAACTAGTCCAAGTCCCACAGGGGGTAAGTGGCTTGTTAGTCTGGCTCTAGAGTTCGTACTTTTACCTGTACTCACCATTCTCTCCTAAAGAACCCTCTAGTCTTAGCCTTTACCTAGTGTCATGGACACCTCAGAGCCAGGAGTCTCTCAAAGTCCCCTATTCTGAGGACAGCCCCAACAGGGCCCCAAAGTCCCTTCATAGCACCAAAGACAAACCTATAACTGGGGTTTGAGACCCCTTGACTGGTCAGAATATACCAGGGATACCACCCCCCATCACTGTGAAACTGTCACCAATGATGGAATGCGCTGATGCTTGAAAGCTCATCACAGGACAGTGAGGGCTGGGATGCTCTGATGCTTGCTCTGAAAGCCTTTCCCTTCTGGTCACCCTGAAATAGTCACTTAGTTATTAGTCTTCTGAGCTTACCTCCTAAAAGTGCTCTATCTCTAGAGTTCTGCTCTTTGGACTGTTGATTATTCTGCAATTTAATACTAACCTTTGGATCAGTCCTTTCTCTGTTCCCCACCTCAAGCTATTTTTTGATGATATCTCCTCCCAAGCTCCAGGCAACTGGTCAAGTACAGCACTTCCCCTAGTAATGACTAACCCTTGTGGACCTATCCACCTCATCTGGTCCACAGGAAGGAAACACCTGGGCTTTCTTCTTCCCTAACCAGGAACCAGCCCAGCTGCTTGAATTCCCCCCCACAAAGCCTTCCTTGAACACAAGAGGGGAGCATATAGGCAGACTCCATGCTCCAATCCCTTACTAGGCCCCGAAAGTCCTGCTTTCACCTCTCTTCACCTCTTGTAACCTTGGAAGGATACCATTTTAATAATGGCAACTCACCCGACTCATCTCCCAATGGGACAGGCTTCGGGGCAGGGCTGGATTGGGGACCAAGGCTAGACAGAAACAGGCAGTCAGAAGGAATGTCTCCTGACTACCCACTATGAATCCCTGGACCCACATTAGCTCACACCCTGTGTCGCTACTATGATATCCCAGTTTCCTCAGCTCATCCCATAGTTCCAGAAACGTCATATCTAGCCATTACACCAACTGGCCCCAAACCCAACTACAACAGACCTGGTTCTTTCTTGGTATTCTTGGAAAGGACAGGCAGAGCTGGAAGTTCTTCTTCTTCAGTACCCTCATCTTCTCCCTCCTTGTCACTGTCTGATGAGAGAGCCAGTCCAGGAGATTGCACTAACGGGGCCTGGTGCCTTAATCCAAGACAAAGAAGGTCATGGGGAGAGCAGACTCAATGGGGGAAGAGACCACCATCATGGATCTGTGAAAGCAGTAAGGACTTGGGAGATAGAGGGTTGCTGAACGGCAAGTCCAGAGCACAGAGGAGGAGCAGTGAGATCACTGCAAGCCATCTGGACACTCACTCATCACTTGCCCATGTTCTGTTCTTACCGGTTAGATCCAGAAGGCTTTTGGGGAGAAGATAGTCCTTGTGGTTTGCCTCCTCGCTGACGCTGTCGGAGCTCAGCCAGACGCTGCCTCATGCTGATGGTCATCTCAGAGCTCAGGCGCCATACAAATATGCAGCTGGGGTAGAGTCACAAGAGTTAAGTTAGGGAGGAAGGGTAGGACTCCGGAGGTGGCAGCACCATCAGTTCTCCACAGCCTCACTTCCCAGAGATATTACTGAGATGAGGAAATGGGAAGGGTAGCGTGTTTGTGGCACAGAGGAAGAATCTGTTTCTCGAGGAAGCTGGCTTCTGCTCACCTGTCTCCTGACACAGAGATGAGATGTTTGCAGTCATTACTAAATTTCATGCCAGTGACAATCTCTGTGAAGAACAAAGAATATGGTCTATGAACAACCCTGAATTCCCAATCAAGGTCCTGTCGGTCCCATCAGCAGTGGGGCTAAGGGTTAGCTAGATGGTAGGAGAAGGTAGCTCTACCATCCCACCCAACCAAGAGAAGAAAGAGTAAAGTTCAAGGAGTATTAGGGTTACACTCACCTGAGTGGCCAAACATGGTGGCCACACACTCGCCTGAAGAGAAGTCAAAAATAGAGAGGTTCTTGTCAGAACAGCTGGTGGCAATGTAGATTCCTGAGGGATCTGTCTGCACCTGAGAAGGGGGACACACAGCTAGAGGAATACAGGAAGTGCCAGCCACTCTCCACCTAACACCACTCTGTCCCCCAGCCTCTGGCCCAGTGCCCACCTTATTGGGCCCTTACCTTAATAAGCGTGCCATCCTCACCCTGTGACCCTTTAAACAGCTTCTTCTGCTTCCCACTGCTGATGTTAAATATCCTATAAAGAAACATACTCTCATTCACACAAGAAAGCAGTGAGGATGAAGCACATCTGGGTGCCAGCATTCACTCCTAGCCTGGTCTCTCTGGGAGCTTACTCCTCAACACCAAAGAGGCTACCACCTCTTGGGTAAGGCACAGTCCTCATTCTATAGGCTCAAGGGGGTAAAAAGTCCCGGACAAAAAGATAGATGCGGGATCTCAGCTGAGAAGAGCTGACCCCCAGGGCATTGAAGGAGTGTAGTCAGTCTGAGAAGAGGATGCCCACCGAATATTTCGGTCCTGGCAGCCGATGGCTGTGTACTTCCAGCTGGGCTCCACATCCATGTCATAGAGGGTCGTCTTCCGTACCACGTGGTGTGTCCGTGTAAAATGTACACCATCACCAGACTGCAGAAGTGGAGAACACAGGCAGACCCACAACCATACACCTGACCAGGCCCCAACTTTCACCTCCCTTTACCACTTATAACCTCAGGCAGGGGAATGGTAGAGCCCTACCCCATGCCCTACCCCTTTGAGGAAAGCCCAGAACTCTTACCTTCTGTGCAGTGCGGAAGTAGATGCTCTTGTCTGCTCCACAGCTGATCATGCGGACTTGCCCATCACTGGCTACAGAGAAGGCAGGCCTAGCTATCCCCATTGTTCTCAGCACATGAGGGCAGCCTTTCCTTTGCTTCCTTCCATATATTCTGATTTTTTTTTTTTTTTTTTTAGACAGAGTCTCAAGCTCTTGTCCTGGGTAGAGTGCCATAGTGTCATAGTACAGCAACCTCCAACTCTTGGGCTTGAGCCATTTTCTTGCCTCAGCCTCCCAGATAGCTAGGATTATAGGCACCCGCCACAATGCCCAGCGTTTTTTTTTTTTTTTTTTGGTGTTGCAGTTGTCATTGTTTTTTTTTTTGAGACAGAGCCTATAAGCTGTCCCCCTGAGTAGAGTGCCGTGGCATCACAGCTCACAGCAACCTCCAACCCCTGGGCTCAAGTGAGTCTCCTGCCTCAGCCTCCCAAGTAGCTGGGACCACGGGCGCTCGCCACAACGCCCAGCTATTTTTTGGTTGCAGTCATCATTATTGTTTGGCGGGCCTGGGCTGGATTCAAACCCGCCACCTTAGGTGTATGTGGCTGGTGCCTTAGCCACTTGAGCCATAGGTGCCGAGCCTGTCATTGTTGTTTTAGCAGGCCTGGGCCGGGTTTGAACCTGCCAGCCCCAATGTATGTGGCCAGCGCCCTACTCACAGAGCTACAGGCACTGCCCTCCCTCCTTATTTTCCCCTATTGAGCTATGACAACCAATTAAATCAATGCTTCCCTTTAAATCCAAGTTTTTCTTCTCATCCTCAGCCCAACCTGATTGGCTCAGGGTTCCCTAGACCCTGTGAGTCTACATTCTACCTATCTTCAGCTGGCAGGGCCAGACCTCCTAGCTGCTATCCAACATTCCCACTCCCCCACAATTGGAAGACCCTTCTCATGGAGGTGGGAGGCAGGTGGCAGTGGGGGTTGGGGTGGTGGTAGATGGCAGGATGTGTCTCTGGCGCCCTGCCCTCACCTGCAAACTTGACAGCAGTGATGGAGGATGAGTGCTCATCCAGAGTCTGCTGTAGGCTATATTCCCGCCCAGCATCTAGCACGTGGATCAGCCGGTCCCGGCTTGCTGATGCTAGCAGCTTCAGACCTGGGGTTGGAAGAACTCCATCAGCCCAGAATGCCCTGAACAGGTCCTTATCTGAATCTGACAGAGAGCCCTGAGGGAACTGAGCTCCATATTCCCAAGCCACAAAAGAACCTTGGAGCAAGGATGGAGCTGTCCTCCTCTAAGCTTACAAAGATACCAAAAGATCCAAAGGATAATCAGCCCCACAACTAAGAGCCCAGATAGATGTGACACTGGCAGGATTAAAGACCCCTGCTCCCACCCCAAAAGCTGGGCTAGATTCTGGGCATTCTCCTTACCTGTGTCTGGTTTAGAGTACTCCAGGCACAAAATCTCTGAGTCATGGGCCTCTACCTTCAGCATCTCATTAAGGGACTGCAATTCGTGAACCCTAAAAAAATGAAGAGAGCCGGGAAGAGGTCATTGCCAGGCTACAGGCAGAGGGACTCACATCCTTCCACCCCTGCTTCCCCTTCTCCCCTAATCTTTTTTTTTAATTGAAATTTTAGTCTAAAAGAAAAGTTGCTAAAAGAATATGAAGTTCTGGGTAATGCTTGTAGCTCAAAAGGGTAAGGCGCCAGCCCCACATGCTGGAGGAGGTGGGTTCAAACCCAGCCCCGCCAAAATAAGAAAAAAGAATATGGAGTTCCCATATTTCTCTTACTCAGCTTTCTCTAATATTAACATCTTACATAACAATGGTACCTTTACTAAAGCTAAGTCATTTACATTTGTACAATAATATTAAAGATTTGTTCAAATTTCAGGGCCAGGTGTGGTGGCTCACTCCTGTAATCCCAGCACTTGGGAAGCCAAGGCAGGTGGATCACCTGAGCCCACAGGTTTGAGACCAGCCTGAGCAAGAGTGAGAACTTGTCTATAAAAATAGCCGGGTGTGGCTCGGCGCCTGTGGCTCAAGTGGCTAGGGCGCCAGCCACATACACCTAAGGTGGCGGGTTCGAATCCATCCCGGACCCGCCAAATAACGATGGCTGCAACTGTTGTGGTGGGCGCCTGTGGTCCCAGCTACTTGGGAGCCTGAGGCAGGAGACTCGCTTGAGCCCAGGAGTTGGAGGTTGCTGTGAGCTGTGAACCCATAGCACTCTACCCAGGGGGATAGCTTGAGGCTCTGTCTCAAAAAAAAAAAAATAGCCGGGTGTTATAGCAGGTGCCTATATTCCCAGCTACTTGAGAGGCTGAGGTAAGAGAATCACTTGAGCCCAAGAATTTGAGGTTGCTGTGAACTGTGATGTTATGGTACTGAGGGCAACAAAGTGAGACGCTGTCTCAAAAAAAAAAAAAAAAAAA